CCCCCCCAGGTCTTCCCAGCCTGCGCTGACCAGAGCCCTCCCTACTCACCAATGTAAGCCACCTTGTCTGTAACCATGAACTTGCTGTGGTTCACTCTGGCATAGGGGATCTTGGCCTGTGTCTCATTTGCAGGCACCACAAAGAGCCGCTGGGGAGGCAAGTGGGAGGAGGGGCACTTGCAGATAGATGGGCGAGGAGGGAGGGGCCTTGTTGGACGGGTGGAGGGACACCCCCCCCCCCACGCCCGGCTCCTGGCTCAGCCCCAGAGCAACTCCCAGAGACTGGAAGGAGCAGGCGGACCCCTCACTTCGGGAAGGGCGCCATGGGGGCCCCTTACCACTTCCAGGCTGTAGTGGGTGCGGTTGTCCTGCAGGGCCGCCAAGGAGCGCAGGAAGGGGAACATGCTTGGCTTGGAGTGTCCCCAGCAGCCGACCAGGAGGCGGAGGGGGATTCTCTTCTCGTAGACCACCTTCCGGAAGTGGTCATCGATGGCCGGCCAGAACCTGAGGAGGACGACGGCAGGGTCAGAAGGACAGAGTCGGAAGTGACCAACTTCTGCTGGGAGGGAGGGCCCCTCCTCCTCAGGTGCTTGGGGTGATGTCTCCCCACTGCTCCTTCCTCCGATTTACCTCCTGGGGTGGGAGAACTCCATGGTGGGCAAGTAACTCATCACAGCCACGTAGACAAACTCCTGGGCCCCGTCGATGATGCTCAGCAGGGACTGGAGATCCTCCGTCCTCCCGGAGGCACACAAGGCTGGGGGAGCACTCTGGGCAGCACAAAAGAGCCCCCACCCCAACATCACCATCCTCTGAGCAAAGCAGGCAGAGTCTGTCCTGGAAGGCAGCAGGCATCCCGCCCCATTCAGCCCCTCCCGGCCCCTCTCCGAGGGCCAAGTCTGGCTGGGAGCCTGGTCTGGCCGGGGACTGGGGAAAGAGGCCCTCTCATCTGGCCAAAGGGGTGGGGGGGGGGGGCGTGTTGGGTTTTTCCCAGGGTGGGAGCAATCCAGCTGCGTCTCCTGCCTCTGCTTGGGCATGGGGAGGGCTGGGGGGAACCCCAATGCATCGGAAGGGCCGGCTGTTCTTCCTGCTGAAGCCTCTTAGCAGAAACCACCCTTTTTGCCCCCTGGGGAAGACGTTTCTCCCACTGAGGGTGACCGGAGGGTCCCGCACTCAACCTGGCAGCTGCTTGGAACAAAGCACTTTACCATCTCCACACACGGGTCCTTACCGAGAAGTAGACGGCAGCCTCTGTGCCGTTCAGCCGCAGCTCCAGGGGCGTCTCCTTGTTGTAGGTGGTGGAGTAATTGGCCGGCCAGGGGGATGGGATGGTGGCATTCGGCAGCCCGAGGGTCCAGTACGCCTCAAACATCTTCCCCAGGTCCTGGGCCAGACAGCTGCAGTTGTAGACGGCTGCCCCGAGCTCCTTCACCTGGCGTCAGAGAGGAGAATTGGCTGCTCTCCTGTCCCCCCCACATGGGACACAAGGAGCTGCAGCCCGTAATTCAAAAGCTGCACCCAGCGATGTTCTTCCAAAGGGGGACTCAAAACCCCAAGACGCCACCTTGGCTTCCAGCATTCCAAGCCATAAAGCAACGACTTTGTTGGGGCAGCTGGTTGGTTTAGCCTGACGGTGCCAGGCAGCCTGCCTTCTTTAGAAAGCCTCCGCTGAGGGACGGAGGATGCCCACGGAGCGTCCCTAGAGGAGACGCCTAAAACCCTCATTGGGAGCCCCAAGGTTTGAGCGAGGGAAGGCCAGGCAGGCTGAGCAAGAGGGCATTACCTGGGTAAGGGCACGCCAGTCCATATTTGCACTGCCAAGATAAATGTGTAGCTGGTCCACAATCCAGAATTTGGCGTGCAGGACTCCCCGGGTCAGCCTGGGTAAGTCCACCTGGCGAATCTGGGCCCCTGGGTGTTGAGAAGCAAAGGCCCCGGTTGCTCTGGGCTCCTTTGGGCCACGGGCCCGGCATCTTCTCTGCCCTAGTTAGGGGCCAGGCAGACCCAGAGCCGCCAGCGGCCGCAGCTCCCCTCTAACTGACTTGAGCCTGCTGTGGCGAAAACTCACCGCTCTTCTCCAGGAGCTGAAGGTCGGTACTGGGCATCCGGGCAGAAGGCGGGTTGACTGCTATCCGCAGTGCAATCCCTCGACTGGTGGCATGCAGCAGTTCATCCAGTATTTCCTGCCCCTGGTGGGAGAGCAAAAGGAGGCAGCAGAGAGCTGACGGGGATGGGCTGAGCAGGAAGGAAGCCCTCTTCCTTCCCAGGAGGCCGTCTCGCCGAGGGGGGCATGTGATACCCCAGATGCTGCCCAACCAGCCCTGGCTCGATCCCTGATGGACCCTCGGACAAAGCCTGGGCCAGTGGAGCAGAGCCCCCTCGTTGTTTGATGCTGGCCTTGCTTTCTCCCCTGAGAGCCACACACGGCTGTTCTCTCCATTCCTTGGACAGCCGTCAAAGGAGGCTCTTTGCTCTCCCCCCGTAACCAAAGCCTGAACCAATGGATGTTCCACTGCCCTCAAAGGGAGCTTTGACGGACGGCAAAGCCGCGCGTGGCTCCACGCCTGTGCAATTAGCTGCCTGTTTCATGTGGGTTTGGCCAGATCCATGTGCTAATCAGCATCTGCCTCTTGGCCTTGTCCGCCCCAGAGCCCCCCCACCCCACCCCGGTCTTAGCAGCCAATGCATGCCGCACACCTAAGAAAACTCTGGAGGTTGGAAGGTGGCTGTTGTGAAAAACGGGACTCTATAGATCTCTGAAGAAGGGGCCACTCTAAGCCCAACGCCAGGGAGTGGTAGATCACGGAGGCTGGGAGGGGGCCTTTGGAGTCTTCTAGTCAGCCAGCTGCCCGGGGCAGGGACCTTAGACAGGGACCTAGGCCATTGCTTAAAAACCCTCATGACTCCAGGAAGCTGGCTAACCCCCACTGTGATAGTTCTCACAGCCAGGAAATTCTCCTTAATCCAAGCCTGGATCTCCCTCTGTAAAGCCTCCATGCGTTGGTCCCTGCCCTGCCCTCGTGAACTCTGGATGAAGCTAAGGGCCCATTTCTGCCCCAGATCACCTGCTGGGCCGCGGGATTCAGGACCTGCCCTTGGGCTCGATCCCTCCTCCATGCGTGACCCTCGCCTTCCGTGGAGACGAGCCCGGGACTTCCACGCTCCTCCCCTCACCTGGCTGGCTGAAGGATCCTGGGTGTGGGTGTCCTGGTTGCTGAGAGTCCAGTAGAAAGAGGCAATGTCCACCGAGCGCCTGGCGTTTCTCAGAAGGCTTTGCCAAGTCTCAAAGGTGGAAGGGCCGGCTGTGCTGTTGTCATCGTACGTCACTCCCTCAGGGATGCTCTCCACCAGCACACTCCTGGGGGAACAATCGGGTGTTTCCCTCTCCCACAAGGGTCTCACATCACATTGCAGACTCACTGAGCCGGGAAGCCCCGTGACACCTACGGTGCCCCAGGAAGGCATTCGGGGATTTTACTCCTTAGCCAGCAGCAGCAGCAGAGTCTCCCAGCCTTCTCTCTGGGCACTGCCCTACTCTACTGCGTGAGGGGGGGGGGCTATGGGGCTAGTGGGCTTTTGGCCTGCAAGCAGGGGGTGCAGGCGCTGCTATACACCCCCTGTGTTTTTCCAGGAGGATCCTAGTGAGGCAAGGCGGTTCTGGCAGAATCCCCACTCCTCTCCCAGGCCCCTTGCCCGGCCTTTCATGCGACCGGACCCCCTTTTTCCTGGAAGGACCACCCGCGTCTGCAAGTGGACAAAGGCCCAACAGAACCGAAGACTCTTCTTCGCAGCTGAGCAAAACCACAACCTTTCCTGCTGGAGAAAGGACATTTGCAGCAGGCCACGGCGTGACGTCCCTCTGCCTGAAGCCAGGGTTCAAGAAAGTCACAAGCAGAATCCATACCTGCAGGAGTCGCTGCACCTGTGATCCACGTGTGGGGCCGATGCCACGTGTCCTAATGCGGCCAAACCGTGCAGGGGAAAGAAGAAGGAGTGGACCACCAGGGTCACCACTAGCACAGTGGACAAGACGGCCGTCACTAGCAAGCACTGGAAGTCCCAGGGCAGGAGGGAGGCGGATCGCCTGGGCGGCTCTGCAGGACGCAGCCCGGAGACAGGGCTGTGGCAGGGCCTCCCCAGTGCAGAGCCATGGAACTGCAGAGAAAGAGGGCAGCTCAGCATCACATGAGCCACAAATACCCATGTCCACAATCTGGGAGGAGGGGGGGTAGCGGCCTGGCGGGCTCTCGCTGCTTCGCTTTCATTGCTGGGGAACTCTTGAGGACAAGCAGAGCCGTCCGATGCCTGCTGACCAGCCCAGCAATGTCTGGAAGCAGCCCAACCGCTGCTCAGGCCCCCTCGACTCTGGGGAGGGAAACCCAGCTTGCAGGCCGCCCAAACAGGCTGCTGGTGCCCTTGCTCAGGACCAATAGCCAGTGGAGAAGGGAGCAGGTGAAGCGAGCAGGGAAGATGGAGAGACGAGCTGGTCTTTCCCAGGCAAAAGGGGCTGAAGCATTTGAAAGCCCAGAACGAGAGGGGGGGGGGGAGAGGACTTGTGGGAGGAGCTCAAACCCTTCAAAGGAAGGGGGCTCAGCACAAGCAGACTGGCAGGATCCTGGCTGCCCTCAAGCAAAATGGTTTTAGCCTTCCTTCCTGGGAGCTCCTGGGGTGGCCTGACTGCAGGACTGGCTGGGCTTAATGCCTCTCTTTCTTTGGGCCTCCCATTTGAAAGCAAGAAGAGAGATGCCACCGCAGGTGTAAGACCCACCTGGTGCAGAGTCTGGCCCAGCTGCTCGGCCAGGGGCAGCAGCTCCCGAGGGCTCTCCGGCGCCTTCAGCTGTGAGGAAGGAGCACAAAAAGATTTCCCACCCTCAGGAAGAAGCCACAGGGCAGGAACAGAGCCACTCCCAGCTCCTGGCACGGAGACGGGCCGGCCGGAAGCCCCCAGGAAAGCTCTGAAGATCCCTCGGCTTTCATCAAGCAAAGAGAAGCTCTGCAGGCTCAGCAGCCGCATTTGCTTGGGGAAGGGGCTGCATGGACTTTGCCCCCCCCCCCCCGGCAGATTAGCAGTGGGGCCCCTTGGGCATCGTCAACCTGCAGGCAAGAGAATCCAACCCAGCACAACCGCATCCCTGGTGTGGCCGAGAGATTTCACCTTCTGGTACGCGGGGGCCGGGGGCTTCATTTGCTCAGATCCTCCCGAGTGGGAAAGAGCCTCCAGGAACCTGCAGGGGCAGATGAGGAAAGAGGCACCGCTGGTATTGGAGAAAATGATACGTGAACATGTAGATTTAAAACCGGAACTCTTTCTATTGGGAATAACTCCAGAAAGAGACAACAAGGACTTGAAATATCTGATCGTGAATATTTTAACAGCTGCTAGGATTGTATCTGCCAAAAATTGGAAAAACGAGAAAGTGCCATCTCAGGAGGAAACTATTTGGAAAATAATGGAATGTGCCGAAATGAGTAAGCTTACATTTGAAATTAGAGAACGAGAGGATGAGCAATATTATAAAGTATGGGACTTGTTTTACCAATGGCTAGATAAAAAAAACCTAGGAATAAAATTGTTTACTTATGTTGTAATAGTTTTTTGTTTTTTCTTTTCTTGCTATGATATAGAGTACTATTCACATGATATATAAAGTACAATAATGATTTTAATGTATAAGAATGGGATGATTTGAACACCTTGGTATAATTGTATGTAGTGACCATTTTATAATATTGCTCATCC